CACAGAAGTATTGTCTTCGCATTAACAAAAAAACCAGGTCTTTGGTGGATGGGTTATAAGTGCCTGGGAAAAAATAATGCTTGAGGTCAGTTTTCATACATAATTTTGTTGTGTACAGAATTAATATAATATATATATATTCTCATATAAACATATAAATTTACATGAAAATGCATGCCATTTTTACAGGCACGATCAAGTATGATATAATATCAAATCATAGATTGTCTACAAGTTAATAATGTTTCAACAGTTAAATATTTGACATATATATAAATACACATTGTCTGAACTAGGCTGTATAGTTATTGAATTGTACAATTGTCCTCTAGGTTGAGGGGGAAAATCGACTTCGTTTCGTTTTCGTCCCGTGGTTGTCGGCATACGATAACCAGCCAATATTGAGGTAAGTACAACGTTTACAACGGATTGAAAGCTGTTTTTAGAAAAGTAGATGTGGTAAGGTGAATCAATAAAGTGTAATGAAATGGGTAAGTGCAAGTATCACTAATAAATGCATTAATATAGAAAACTCCCTAGGCTGACAACGTTCATTTGCAATGTATAATGCTACGCGTATATCTGGTAGTATCATGATGTCCACTTTTGGTTTTAATACATTTTTTCCTTATGTCTGTTTTTTTATTTTATGCTTTATTGTGCATTTGGTGCACAACCGTACCTCACAGAAAATAGGAATAGAATAAGTCGAATCAAATTCATAAAGAGCTATAAAATGTTAGGTTTAATGGGATACAATGAGGATTAAGTAAAGACGTAATTAGAAAATGAATGAGATAAGACATTGTGAAGTGGTATTTAAAGATCCGACAATGGACAGCAAGGTAGTTTATAAGATGCCCCATAAATCTGTGCACATCCCACATGGTCGCATCTCAACAATAGGCTGAGCGAATGGTGTATATTTAGAGGTAGAAGCATGATCTGTCAAGGCGTTCATTACTACCTTTTTCAAGATAAAGATCTAAGCCCTCATCAAAATCAGAAATATCTCGAGCCTTCAAATTGTATATTGCTGTTCCTGCAGAATGGGGCGATTCACCTTAGTGACCCCCACCATATCTACTGATCAGCTAACGCCACCCTCCCTCCTTTTTTGATGTTAAGCTCTGAGACTATGATTATTATGGCTACCGCAAATATACTGCTAGGTACCAGACATGTTCGTACCCCATATTCCATCTCCCTAGCTTTCTTAATGAGTGCTTCCAATAGGTCTCCACATACATCTTTATGAACATTATATATGTATGCATGCGTCCTAATGAACGGATTACTTTACAAGAAGTTAAAACCTTTAAGAATAAAAAGAATAGGTTTTGTGAATAGTTAAGCAAGATTCAGCAGAACAATATAGTTAGGGATCAATGTAGGTAGTATGAACTGAAGGTAAGGTCGGTTGGCAGGACTTAGTGTACTAAATTATCATGACAGTCTTGTATATAGTAGACATCTGACATTGCAAAGTAACGTGTCTAAACATATTATAAAAGATATTAACAGAAATACTACATAGCTTTAACATTATGAATTTTAGAAAATTATATGAGAATGGGTAACTGTTGACTGATGATAATCAATTCAACTCAAAAATAGTGCAGTGTATTATGCTAATAATATAAGTATATTCGTAAAATATTAAAAGATATGGTTGCTAATGTAATGGTTTTCGGAAACAATTATACTGACGAACTTATTGAAGATTACAGTGAAGAGGAAACCAGTGAGTTAGTTAAATGGCTACCGTGCAGTTAGTAGTTAAAACGTCTTTTTTAAAAAGTAAAGTGTAGAAGAGTTTTGGTGGATGGGTAATTAGTGCCTGGAAAAAGTAATGCTTGAGGTCAGTTTTCATACATAATTTTGTTGTGTACAGAATTCTTGAGTTATAGATCATTGATGTGTTACTTTGAAATCAGAGATATGTTTATTTCATTTGAATAAATAAATAGATTGATTCTCATGGTACAGTACATGAGGGACGCCAGTTTACAGGCATCATCAAATTGTCACAGAAATAGAACCATATTATTCAGTCACATTTTACAATCGATAGCAAATATGTTTAACGTGTACACTGGAGATCATACATACACTTGATAAATGTTAATCCCAGTAGTATAAAACATCCTTTTCACTTATATACAATCATTTCTGTGCATAGTTGAAAATATCCGCTAGATTGTCAGTGAGTGCAACACATCAGGAAACACAGAAGTATTGTCTTCGCATTAACAAAAAACCAGGTCTTTGGTGGATGGGTTATAAGTGCCTGGGAAAAAATAATGCTTGAGGTCAGTTTTCATACATAATTTTGTTGTGTACAGAATTCTTGAGTTATAGATCATTGATGTGTTACTTTGAAATCAGAGATATGTTTATTTCATTTGAATAAATAAATAGATTGATTCTCATGGTACAGTACATGAGGGACGCCAGTTTACAGGCATCATCAAATTGTCACAGAAATAGAACCATATTATTCAGTCACATTTTACAATCGATAGCAAATATGTTTAACGTGTACACTGGAGATCATACATACACTTGATAAATGTTAATCCCAGTAGTATAAAACATCCTTTTCACTTATATACAATCATTTCTGTGCATAGTTGAAAATATCCGCTAGATTGTCAGTGAGTGCAACACATCAGGAAACACAGAAGTATTGTCTTCGCATTAACAAAAAAACCAGGTCTTTGGTGGATGGGTTATAAGTGCCTGGGAAAAAATAATGCTTGAGGTCAGTTTTCATACATAATTTTGTTGTGTACAGAATTCTTGAGTTATAGATCATTGATGTGTTATTTTGAAATCAGAGATATGTTTATTTCATTTGAATAAATAAATAGATTGATTCTCATGGTACAGTACATGAGGGACGCCAGTTTACAGGCATCATCAAATTGTCACAGAAATAGAACCATATTATTCAGTCACATTTTACAATCGATAGCAAATATGTTTAACGTGTACACTGGAGATCATACATACACTTGATAAATGTTAATCCCAGTAGTATAAAACATCCTTTTCACTTATATACAATCATTTCTGTGCATAGTTGAAAATATCCGCTAGATTGTCAGTGAGTGCAACACATCAGGAAACACAGAAGTATTGTCTTCGCATTAACAAAAAAACCAGGTCTTTGGTGGATGGGTTATAAGTGCCTGGGAAAAAATAATGCTTGAGGTCAGTTTTCATACATAATTTTGTTGTGTACAGAATTCTTGAGTTATAGATCATTGATGTGTTATTTTGGAATCAGTGATATATTTATCTCATTTGATCTACAATGTCATTTTTGGGAGTAAAATACATATATTTTAGGCGCATTAATTAATCTATTTCTACTGCTTGTGGTTATTCACTTGTAGTGAGGGTGTTTTCGAATTTTAATTGTTCCGACAGGAGTTGTGGATATTGACTGCTGCGCAACATTACGGATATAAGTTCATCACATTATCTTAGGAAAGTTGGGTTGTAGTTGCTGAGGCATGTATGATGCCCGACGAGCGTAGATCTGTCCATGTGATGTTGTGGTAAGTTATACCTTTTTCATGCTGTCGGTTTATATCCATTTTATTCCAATTATTGTGTTGGGCAGAAGTTTTACAAACGAAATTTCTTGTCTGTTTGAGTGTAAGTATCTTAACCGTTAATGTTTTATCCAAAATTATAAATATAGGCAAAAAACAACAGGTGTAGCATTTAGGCTTATACATTAAATGGACCTATAATTTCAGAGGCCCTCAGATAGGAACTAGGACTATTATTGTCATCAAAGTCTCATAAACCGTTAATGCCCAGCTCTCGCTACGCTCGGGCCCACGCTGTTCTTAGAAGATTTCTGAGAAACGCTTAGTTATAACGGACGCGAAAACCAAAACACCGATCTGCCGTTTGATATTTTGTATTGTTACACCAACATATAAGAGGAATAAACGAACTAAGCAACTAAGGTCTGTAAACAAATATTACAATAATAAATCGTTATGTTACTTCTGACGATGTTTCAATCTTCTTTCTGAACAGCGACCGATGAGACGATGACTGTCGTATTGATGCTTCCGCGAAAATCGAGGAAGTTGATTTTGAGCAAACAACCATGAATTGATCGTTCAATCTTCAACTCCATTGACACTCCCCGGCAAAAAAGGGATCCAACCCTTTTTTCCTTCACGACCAAAGCACGTTGACTTGGATGCCATTGCGAGAACCTGGGTCACACGGACAGAGCTGAAATGGAAAACAAACAGAAAAGCCAACACACCACAAGCATACCCACAGCACAATCTCACACATCAATGACGACCTGCGCCTCCAGACAGAGACTTCCTCTTGACATCTTCCAACACAATCGCCACTTACTAGAATGACTCTTGCAGAATGCAACCTGACCATAGCACCAACTCATGATACTCTTCAAGCATCCTCTTATCTATTCACTATCAATTATCACTGAAATCGCTTGTCACTCATTCTGCCTCAGTTCTAGTAGCTGTGACGCATGCGAGCCTCAGTTGTTTACACTCTTTCTCCCCGGCGTGTCGGACCGCAGCTAACAATTATCTCCGTGTGCATTTCATTCGCAGCAATAGCCTAGCCTCCCCGGCGTATACGACCCATCTGCTGTCCTTAACATCAATCAATTCATTCACAAATGTAGAAGACTCGAAACAACTTCAGAAGTAATCACGACGAACAATTTAACAAAATTATGCAATAACAACAAGATACGAAAACAACAAGTAAACACAATGAATCCAAAATCACAAATTGATATGACACACCACACGTATATACAAACAGTACACACAAACTCGCATTTCATGTCTTGATGGAATACCCTTGAAGAATTGCAAGACTTACACCAGTACGCCTACAAACCTTCACAGGTTGACGATTGTAAGTTGTGGAATGTCCGGACACAAACAAGATTAACCAACAATTACATCAATTGGAACTCACACAACTATTTAACACAAACATATGTACAATCAACACATCAAATGTTGTGGATTCTGACACGACAAACTACCCTTGAAGAACTGTAGGACTTACAGCAGTACGCCTACATTCCTTCTCAGGTTGATGATACAAGTGGAAGTCGTCCGGACACAAACAGAATTACCAACAGCTAGATGACAGATCATATCAATTCAGTATATACAACATGAACGTATGTACAAAATCACACACCAAGCACATTGAACTGCTCATTGATGCGCTACCCTTTGAAGAATTGCAAGACTTACACCAGTACGCCTACAAACCTTCACACGTTGACGATTGTAAGTTGTGGAATGTCCAGACACAAACAAGATTAACCAACAATTACATCAATTGGAACTCACACAACTATTTAACACAAACATATGTACAATCAACACATCAAATGTTGTGGATTCTGACACGACAAACTACCCTTGAAGAACTGTAGGACTTACAGCAGTACGCCTACATTCCTTCTCAGGTTGATGATCCAAGTGGAAGTCGTCCGGACACAAACAGAATTACCAACAGCTAGATGATAAATGATATCAATTCAGTATATACAATATGAACATATGTACAAGATCATACACCAAGCACATTGGACTGCTCATTGATGCGCTACCCTTTGAAGAACTGTAGGACTTACAGCAGTACGCCTACAACCCTTCTCAGGTTGACGCCCTAGGTTGGAAAATCGTCGCAGAGTTCATTTGCTAACTTCCTTCTATCAGCTATATCCTCAAATCTGAACGGCAACACGCCCATGTCATTGTATCGTAGAATATAGATGACCAACAAACACACGACATATCTCATCAACCAAGTGTAGAAACAGAGTAATTTACACCAAAGATAATAACATTCAAATAGTAACTTGAAACTAGAAATGCCTTTATTCGTGCAAGTCAATTTAACAATTACTCTCTCGTTTACACTTGGCTTATCCACACTAAACTGACCATTGATATTCGTCCTTTCAAACGAACTGATACTACCATAGTCATTGCACAAGATACTTGAGTTGATGGGCATCTGTTTCATTGTGGATGAAAACACCAACGATGACTGAGTGACACAAGGTGATGAACTTAGTGGTGGATCAGAAGCTGTTCTTGTTCGGCTCTCAGATAGTTGTCCAACTGCAAGATTACCACCACTGCTGTCTTTCACTACTAGTTCGGGTTTAGCACTATCATCTGATGATAGGTGGGCTACATGCTGATCAATTACACTGACTGTCTCACAAGTATGCATGCCTTCTGCAACTGCATCTGCATTTATTTCTACTTCACGTTCAAGTTGTACAGAACCTTTATTTAACTTAGCAGTAGTAGGCATATCCCTCATCTCATCATGATCAACCAAAGACAAATCTGCACTATCATGATCATTACCACAAATATTCAATTTACCGTCAATTTCATCATTTTCAAACTCTTTAATAACAGAAGTAGACAATTTTGGTTCCTCCTCAAAAATCATTAAAGGTTTTATAAATTCACTCTGACTAGATATACTTTGTAAACTTGTGGAGTCAGAACTCCACTCTGAAGCAGTAACTCTATTCTGTGACACTCTATTCAACAACGGCTTACCAGTTGCAACTACAGACTTCTTCACAACACCGTTATCGTCACACAATTCGGAGTCAGACCTGGAGTTTACATTTAGCTTATCACTGAACTTGCTCACTGGTTCACAGTTCACCTTTGTATGCACCTCTTGCACACGTGTAGAACAAAGCCGTGTTTGTCTTGCATCTTGTAACTTATCTGTTGAGGATGTACTACGAAACCTGTTACACTCACTAGGTCTATATGCATTACTAGACATCATGGAGCCTTCTCGATATCCACCTCTCTGAGGCCTACTCGTCATCAATGAGTGCGTTTTACCCTCAGACTGCTCTATTCTATGGGTGAGATCTAACAGACTGGCGAACTTGCTCATAGATTGATTGACACTAGTATTTACCAGTTTCAGGATATCATCAAACTTTGGCTCGATACCCTCATCCTCCATACGGGAGCTTATCTTCACCCACTTCCTTTGCAGTCGGGTAGGTAGACGTCTTGCTATTACTTCTAGTATAAAACTCGAGTTGAGGTCACTCATTCGATTCATCGAAATCATTCCATTCTTGTAAATTAGCAAATTATCTAAAAACTCAGTGAGTGCCTGGGAGTCATCCTGTAACTGACCACCATTACCCTCAACAGCCTCGAATAATTTCCCTGCAATCATCGAGGGTCTTCCAAACCTTTGGCGTAATATGCTCATAGCCTCATCGTAGCCCTCCTTTGGCTTCATAAACTTACAACACTGTATAGCTCTTGCAGCATCTCCAGTGCAATATCTCATCAAATACATTAACTTCAATTCATCATTTAATAAAAAACCACTCAACATGATCTCAAACTCCTTTACAAATTGTAAATAATCAGCCGGGTTTCCATCAAAACATCGTGGTTCTAATTTAGGGAGTTTGATGTTCCTATTATCCCTGAACGGCGAAACAGTAACATCAACCATATCATGTTTAACATCAGACACATCGTTACAATTAACAGACAAGTCACCATGACTTACTTTCCTGTTTGCATCCAAGACACTCTGTCCCTTCTTTGACCCAGGCATTGTTGAACTTGACCCAATTCCAAAAAAGTTCCAGATATTGCTTGTTCAAAGAGGACTTGACCGGCACCAGGAAAACTGAACGGCGACTATCCAAACTTTCACCAACTGTTTCAATCCGCCAGATCTGTTTCCATCGTCAGAAACTGTCATCAAAGTCTCATAAACCGTTAATGCCCAGCTCTCGCTACGCTCGGGCCCACGCTGTTCTTAGAAGATTTCTGAGAAACGCTTAGTTATAACGGACGCGAAAACCAAAACACCGATCTGCCGTTTGATATTTTGTATTGTTACACCAACATATAAAAGGAATAAACGAACTAAGCAACTAAGGTCTGTAAACAAATATTACAATAATAAATCGTTATGTTACTTCTGACGATGTTTCAATCTTCTTTCTGAACAGCGACCGATGAGACGATGACTGTCGTATTGATGCTTCCGCGAAAATCGAGGAAGTTGATTTTGAGCAAACAACCAAGAATTGATCGTTCAATCTTCAACTCCATTGACAATTATCGTTTGCAAACTCTTGTAGTTTGTCGTTAAGCACTCTTTTGAATGAGGCCAATGTACCTGCTTTACGCATTTCCATTGGTAGTTTATTCCATATCTGTGCATACCTAATCAAATAGAACTTTTTCCTGGTAGCTGTTTTACATTGTTCGATAGCTACTGTACCCTTAGTGTGTCTTAGTTTGTAGCCACTGTCATCTGAAAGTCGAATGCCATTAGTAGAGGTAAAAACTAAGTGGTTTAGAAGCTTATAGTAAGGTGTTAAGTTTAGTCTCAGGCGTCTTAGCCATAGTGTTTCTAATCCTAGGGTGTCACATCTAGTGGGGTAGTTCGTACCATTTTCGGTTCCGAGTGATTTTTACGTGAAGTACGTCTGCACTCCCTCGACTTTAACTTTGTCCTCTATGCGTATAAACTATACATGAATGAACAGTAATCAAATAAAGGACACACACAAACCTTGTACAACAAAATTCTGGACTCATTTCTGTAAAAGTTCCTGAGTAGAAAGCCGATAAGTCTGCGTGACTTTGACACTTGTTTGGAGATATGTTCAGAAAATGATAAGTCATGTGAGTATTTCAGTCCTAGGTCCAATACAGATTCCAGTCGTAAGAGTGCATGGCCTTGAATTGTCAGGTCAAGTTCTAAATTGCTGCAACCTATGCAGAGCCAGCCACATTTGTCGACGTTAAACTGGAGTTGCCAGGTGTCACACCATCTATCCATTTTTTCTAATTCTTGCTGTATGGCGTTTACTGTTATTCCGAGATCTGTGTTCTTGCATTTATAGGTCACTTTTAAGTCATCTGCATATAGTATTGGTTTACCAACACTAAAGCATTCACAGATACTGTTTATATATATTATGAATAGGAGTGGGCCTAATACACTTCCCTGGATTACACCACTACTTACTGGTTTAGGCCTTGAAATTATCGAGCCAACTTTTGTTATCTGATTCCTGTCACAGAGAAATGATTTTATCCAGCTCAGGAGAGGGTCGCATATCCCTAGTGAGCATAACCTGCTGACTAGCAGATTTTGGGGGACTCTGTCGAAGGCAACTAGTAGCGGCAGTGTTGGCAATCAGACTGTACGAGATTATACGTCATAATTCAACCGTGAAATTTAAATCCGTATGTCTCTGGACGGACTCAATGACAGTAATACACTACATACGCGATACGTCCACTAGTTCAGCACCTTCGTAGCAAACTGACTAGCCACCATACACCGTTACTCAGATCCCAAACAGTGGTACAATCTACCGACCAGAGATAATACGGCCGACCTTAAATCGCGTGGCACGTTAAAACTTGAACAACTACAGCGTTGGTTGGAGGGTCCGGGGTTCCTATCGAAAGAAGAACATCAATGGCCGCATGCTGTATTCCTGAAACAATAGAGTTGAAGAAACAAGCAGCTGCAGTATGAGGTCTCGTTCGACCAGACTGCATCACCAATCTGTTGAGACGATACTCTAAATGGACGCTCTTAGTGAAGTCTTTTGCATGGATCCTTAGATGGAAAACCTTCCTAGTTGAAAGGTTCAGAAAAACGGGAAAAGAATTAGCGGTAAGAGGATTATTGAAACTATCAGAAATGAGACACGCAGCTCTAGAAATCATACGATCCGTTCAGAGTGAGGTCTATTCGAACTTCAATGAAATAGGGACGGACAGGAGCTGTAAGGGCGTTGATTCTCTGAGAAAGCTGTGTCCGATAGTAAAGGATGGAGTCTTATGTGTAGGATGTCGTCTTTTAGTACGTGAACATTCCCATGGCAAATAAGCACCCAGCAATCCTCGTTTCAAAACACGTAGTCACCGAAATATTGATTCAGCATTATCATACCACAGAGGGTCACTGTAAGGTGCATCACGTTCTAATGTCTTTGCGTCGTTCCTTTTGGATTGTTAAAGGCTATTGAGCAATGTGTCGAATGTAAGAGGAGGTCCGCGTTAACTTGTGAACAGCTCATGGCTCCTCTACCCATGGCGAGCGTGCAAGAAGGGTGGTATCCGTTCCAGTTCGTTGGAGTAGACTACTTTGGACCATTTTTTGGTTAGCGGGGTCGAGGAAAAGAGAAGCGATACGGCTGCTTATTTACTGGTCTTCAGATTCGTGCTATACATCTTCAGGTAGCACATTCCTTAACGACTGTGTCAATGCAGTTGAAGATTGAACGATAAATTCACTGTTGTTTGCTCAAAACCAACTTCTCCAATTTTCGCGGAAGCATCAATACGACAGTCATCGTCTCATCGGTCGCTGTTCAGAAAGAAGTCAGTAGAAAACCGTCAGAAGTAATATTGTGATTTATTATTGTAATATTTGTTCACAGACCTTAGTCATACGTGATTTATATGTTGGTGTAACAATAAAGAATTCTCGAGCGGCCAATCGGTGTTTTGGTTTTTTCGTCCGTTATTACTAAGCGTTTCTGAGAAACTTCAAGGAACAGCGTGAGTCCCAGCGAAGCAAGAGCTGGGCATTGACGGTTTACGAGACGTGGCTGATAGACTGAGTCATTCATCATGTCGTTATTGCTGTTTATAGTTAGACGTGGGACCCCTACAGATATCTGCAGTGATAACGGGACCATCTTTGTCGGCACAAACAGAGAACTGAAGGAACTAGTGAATGGATGGAATCAGAAGAAGATTAACGATACTTTTTGCCCAAACAGACACAGTGGCACTTCCGGCCTCCAAATGTGAGTCATAGAGGTGGAGTGTGGGAGCGAATGATTAGATCTGTGAGAGCTATTCTTCAAGCATTACGCAACGAGCAGAATCTATATGATGAAACTATATTGACGTTTACGGCAGAAGTGGAACGTATACTGAATGATCGGCCGCTTGTACCATCAACATTGGATAGCTGAGATAATCTAGCTCTCAGGCCAAATCACCTACTGCTGATCTGTCGAAACATTAGTATGGAGACTCCATCAGGTACTGTCCAGGTATACAACTCCGGAGGGAGGTAGGCTATGCATCTAAAAGCTTCGTTCTGGCGGAAATGGAAGCTAGAATATTTACCCTTACTTCAAACTAGACAGAAATGGATCACAAAATCTAAAAATCTATCCCCGGGGGATACGGTGATGATTGCGCTAAAATCTTCAACAAGAGACCGTTGGCCGCTAGGAGTTATTGCGGGATGCGAGCAATCCATGGACGGACTTTACCTCTCTGTCAGCTGGGACATATCCAAATGCGTGGAAAACCACGCACATTACCTCAAAGTATAATTCAGGCTCCCGTTCAGGTGTCATGAGTTCCAGACCCATTAACCTAACTTCCTTCATTTCAGGATCTCTGGAAAAGGTTGTTAAGAGTCCCATTTCAGACTACTCTTCTCAAGAGAAGCTTACCACTTCTTAATAATATGGTCTTATGAGGTCACGCTGTTGCACGACATGTCATCTATAATTTTTCAATCGAATTTCACAACTTGAAGATTCCGGTATAAACACAGTAATCATGAATTCAGAACTTATTGGACAATTTGGGTTCTTCCTCACAAATCCTAAAAGGTTTTATACCTTCACTCTGACTAGTAATACCTTGTAAAATTATGGAGTCAGAACTGGACTCTGAAAC